ATAATTAGAGTCAGGTAGAATCCGTTAACCTCTCTAATTATATCTTCATCCTTGAGTACCATTGATTCTCTAATGGATAGTGATTTATAAAACACATTCATGAACCAGAGCACTCTTACTAATCCAAGTATCGAATCAACACTCAAGAGAATTATTTATCTACTTCTTTCTCAAGAAGGAATGGATTCCATCTCGTATAATAACATTCCCAGCTACCTATTTCATTATGTCTCCAAAATACAAGGAATAGGATTCAGAGTCTCGGAATCCGTACCGAGTAAATCAAAAGACATAAATCCATAAATAGAAGTTTGTTAAGAACTCAGGATTAAGATCATCCTATATATGACCATCGGTAGACTCAATTAGAATTTCTATGCTTAACAGAAATTATTAAAAATTCATATTGTGTCTGTGTCCTAATTCCACATAATCTTATTATGCGAAAAACACTAATTCAATATCTCGCCATATCAACAGTGCGGATAACACTGTTCCATTCTAAATGGGAATGACATGTATTAATAATGTTTTAATTAAAGATTCTGAACTTTAATTAAATTCATCATGAACAATGTTTTTTATTATTATCCTTAAACACTATCCTCTCGTATATAACACTTATATACTATGTTTAAGGTTACATAACCAATCACAGAATTTTCATTTGATACTCATAAAATATTCATAAATATATGCACATAAAATGATGAATAAACTCTTTTATTAATTAAATAATAAATATCCTATTACATCTCATGCTTCTAGGACACTATTCCCAACAAGAGGTCGGCGTGTAACCTGCGAGAAAAAATAGAGAACAAAAGTTTTTCTAAATTTCCAATTCCACATCGTACATGAGTTGATGTTCGTGGAAGACTTGAGTGTTTTGAAAGCTAATCTTATTTTGTTTCAAATGTGCCCACACACACATCTTCATAGATTCAAGAAATTGACGAGGAAGATTCGAGTATTCCAAACGAACTTGGAGTGAGGAATGTTCGTGGTCAAAGAACTCAAGCTATCGACCTACGACCTAATCATTCGCTAGGTAAATTTATTTTTAAATTAATTTGATTAATTTATTCGTGCATAAATCAATATATTCTACAGAGAGTTTCAAAAGATTTATGAAAATTTTTTTATATACGATAAATTGATACACGTTTCTGCATAGAAAATTGTTTTGAAAACCAACACTGATTACTAACCTATCTCAATTTGTTTGGCGAGGACTTTTCAATGGTGGTAACAGTGTGTCATGGGGTGGATTGACTAGGGCGGATCGGGCTTGTTTGGAAATTGGAAACCAGATGTTTGGGAGGTGTTTTCTGACACCGTCAACGTTAGGTGGTTAGGTCCTTTTGGAGGTTCGATCCTGGCAGTGGGGGGCTTCCTTTGGTAGGGTTGGTGCCGTCTCCGGAGGTTGGCGAAGGTGAATCATTTGTTGCCATTTGATGGTCTCTTTCCAGCAGCTTTGCCGCTTGACTCTCGAAGCCTTCTTCCTTCTCTTGTGGTCCTTTCACCGACTGCGTCGTTGTTGAAGGCTTGCACTAGCAATGCTTTAGGTTTTCCTTTTGCTTTGCTTTGTGTTTTGGAATGTAATAAAAGTGTAGCGATGTCGTTCTTGCTACTTTTTGTTTTTTTTTTTTTTGTAATAATGGATGTGGGTTTTCCACCGTTCGGTGTTGGTTATGTCTCCCACCCGGTTGAGTGTTTCTTCGATGGTGTGGATTATTTAATCAAGTTAGAATATTGTATATGTCATGATGTTGATGTCCCCTCTGAGTGAGGGTTAGTGTTTTGTCCCTCCAGCACTCGGAAGCTTATTTTGATGGAAGGGGTTTTTTAAAATAAAGCCTTAGGGGTACTCAATCTCAGTGTGCCGAGATTATCTCCCGTTCTCAGGTCTCATGTGTATGTATGTCTCTCTATCGGGTCATTAGCCTTGTATTGTGATCTGATCTTTCCGTTTGAATACAAGTTTCCCTTTCAAAAAAAAAAATTTGATAAGATGTTATCGTAAATTGATAATTGAGAAAATTGGTGAACCCACTTTTTAAATACATTATTTTAAGATTTTTTATTTACTCTTAATTAATATATAATATAATTTTTTAATTAAAGGGTATTAATTAAGAAAAATGGATGAAAATCTAAGACTCGTGTATTTTAAAGTGTATTTTGTCTCCTTTTCTCTTGATAGTTAGTTTCTTTGTTACTTAGGCCCCGTTCTTTTAGAAGTTCGAATCATAAAGAGCTTATATGGTATGACCAAAAGAAATAAATTATCGATAGTTCTCTATTTTTAACCGTTAGATCTGTATCAAAAACTGTTTATTTTGCATACTTATTTAATTTGATATAATTTTAACATAATTTAACAGTCAGAAACTGACACTATCAGTAGACCTAAACTACCAAAAAAACTCTTAATATTTTTGTTAAAGTGTTTCTTTACACAAAAAAATTGAATTTCAAAATGGGGCCTTACTTGAGCAACTTAGGCCTTGTTCGGCAGGGTGATTTTTGAGTTAAAAACTCAAAAAAATGTAACTCGAGTTATAACTTTATTCGAGTTCATGTTCTTTTAAGTTTGAACTTGAGTTTGAACTCGAGTTTGGAACTAAAACTCGAGTTCAAGTTTCCCCTTCAACTCGAGTTCAGAAACTCGAACTCAAGTTAATGAACAGTATTTTTTCTATTCTTAAAAATGCTATAACTTTTTCATTTTAATTCTGATTGAGATGATTTTTTTTTATGCGTTGACAACGAAAAGACGAATAAAACTAGACCCATATACCCTATTAAAATTTTTCATTAGCATTGAGTTTTTATTAAAATACTATCTAAAAACAAATTCAAGTTTTGACTTACTCAAACACAAACTCAAAAAAGATTCTTATCTCAAATCATAACTCAAATGTACACAACCAAACACAAACTCAAGTTACAACTTCAACTCAAGTTATAACTCAAACTCAACTAAAAATCTACACTCAAGTTACCTAACTCAAAAACATCAAAAGAACAAGCCCTTAGTTCCGTAAACTCTCCTTTTCTGTTCCACCGGAAATCTTTTTTTCTTTTTTTCTTTTTCTTATTCTCTAAATTTGCTATCATAAATTGGTTGAGTTTGATTATAATTTTTCATTCGCCTTGAATTTAAGGTTGGGTTCTTCTACATTTTGGTAAATGTAATTTAGAATTTTCATGATTGCAACTTGATGTAAAAGTGAGTTTGAGTAGTGTTAATAAAATTAAATATGTTATTATATTAAGACAGTGAGAATGGTATTTAAAGTAGATGCTAAAATATTGAGAAAGGTAACAAAGGGAAATTCAATTAATATCAATTTTGAAATAAAATTATTGTACCACTAATTCAATAGAATGACTATTCAACTATTTTAGTGGAATAGCAATCAATTCCACATAATAGCTATTTTAAATTTTTTTTGTCCAACTAAATGTAAGAATGATTTTTCTCAAAAATGAAAACTGGATTTTGGGAATTATGTCTATTCCAATAGCCTTTCCATTGTACCCTAATATTTGTGTCGATACCAGTATTTTCAGTGTGACTAGAACCATTAAAACCAGTGCCCTTCAATCGAGGGATGAATTTGAGAATAACATTTTCGCCGAGCCCAATTTAAGAACACCATAATTCAAACATTTATTCTTTTTTTTTTCTGGTGAGAATTCCTTGAAAATTTTTTAAAATATATATATACTAATATTTGTGTCGATACCAGTATTTTCAGGGGGACGAGAACCATTAAAACCAGTGCCCTTCAATCGAGGGATGAATTTGAGAATAACATTTTCGCCGAGCCCAATTTAAGAACACCATAATTCAAACATTTATTCTTTTTTTTTCTGGTGAGAATTCCTTGAAAATTTTTTAAAATATATATATATATGAGAGAGAGAGAGAGAGAGAGAACGCCGGACGGATTTAGACTTGAGAATTAAAAAAATAAAAAAAAAAGGATAAAATACATCTTATTCTTATGAATTGGATATTGTTGATTCCGTGGATAGGATCAAGCAGATCCGGAAATGCGATGAATTACCATCCAAACTAAAATGCGTAAAATAGATAAATAAGTGAATGCTTACAAGAAGAAAATTTACTATAAAGAAAGAAGAAACCTTAGAGCAGAAATTAAGGTGTCAAAGTTTCCAACAGATCAGCATTCCCTCCACCAGTAAACTGTGTTAAACTTGAAAACTAGCTGCCATGAATATTCTTGGTTGGTATTTGGTAAGATTTCGAAAACGACACAAAATCGATCACTACCCAGTCAACTGAAAATGCTCATCACGTAGATAGTCACGTAACAAGCAAAAACAGTAATGGCATCCACGAAAAAGATCTTTGCTTGGCCACAAATTAAGGTACAAAAGCAGGACAGCTGATTAAGGCTACAGTCTGATAAAAGTTTTTTTACCCAGAAACAACTATTTCTTAAAATTAACACTAGCAAACATTCTAAACAAGCAACCTTTACTGATCCCTTTGTACAATGGAATTTCAATTTCTTCAACTCTGGGAAAATAACGCGCCTCCACGGGAGCTAAAACCGCTGGAGATCATGCCTGTATTAAACTTCCAAATAGGCATTAACGTGATTTAAGTCAAAGAATACCCTTTCCAAACGCTTTAAACACATTGCGGCCAACTAAAAGCTTGTCTTGAATTTCAGAAGACTAATTAATGTAAATTGTCAACTACATGAAGGATCCTACATGAATCAAGGAGTAAAATGTCCGTGGAATCTTTCATTTTACACGAAATTGATCTCCCCATATTTTTATTTCAAGGGAATCCCAAGTAGATTTTGACAAAATGCTTTTGCAGAAGGATCGCAAATATTGGACAAATGCAGAGGCACACAAGCGTACACAGATAAGACATTTTCACTCGTCTTGCAAGCTAATTGCAATTTGCAGCTCAGTTTATAGGACTATACAAGGCATGAAAAACAAGTTTCAAACGGTTATGATACACATTATAAGTAAGAAGTGAAATTTGACTCGGTTTTATAAGCAACAAATGCAACATTAACAAAACAAAAGGGAAGGCCATCATGTACAAACTTCAGATAAGAAAGGAATCTCACAAAGATGCATTAGATAGAATTGAGAAGTTAATCAATTTCATTCATCAATAAAGGAGGGTCCAAAACAGAAACGAAAACGGCACCTTATTCGATCACTGTAGCTCATTGATACGCCAATTTCCCAACAACTTTCAACATCTATTATATTCCCACTTACAAGAATTACAAGATATGGGATATTCATATTGTCAAATCATCTCAACAATCAACACGGACTTTTCCAATTCAGTCTACAATTACACTTCTTATAGAGACAATTTAGAGCTATTAATAGAGAGACCCAAGTCAAATCCAAACCTGAAGAAACACAACAATTTCTTGGGAGAGAGGATTATTTATTTATTCATTCATTCATTCCGATCGCTTCGAATTGGAAGATACCAAATGCCTCCAGAGATAGCGACCACTAGCCATGTCCACACAGGTCCAAAACCCAGACTCCATAGCCGAGCAAACCTGGAGATAAATCCATGAATGAAAAGAAACGAACGAAAAATTGTTCAAAATTGGAGATTATTTTGAGAACCCAGAAACCAAATTGACCAGCCGAGGCTAAAAACTAAACCAACCTTGGAGAACGGAGAAGTCGTCGAATTTGGCAGCTTGGTTTTCTCGGACTCGTCGAGATTTTCGTGGGTTTCGTCGCCGGAAGGAAATTGAGATTCGGGCTGAGACTTGAGGTTCCTGAGGACAAAGAAACCGGCGAGAGTGGCCGAGAGGAAGATCAGAATGATTCTCAGAGGACACATTTCTCTCTCTCTCTCAACAGAGATCGAGAAATGCTGGATTAGAGAGAGAGAGAGAAAGAGAGAGAGAGGAAATTATAAATCGAAATTATAAATCGAAATAGTGATCTCTAATTTTGGGATTAGAGAAAAGGGAAGAGGAGAAAGGATGTTATTGAAGAAACAAAAAAGAAAGAAAATGCCAAATTGTCAAAAAGGCGTATGTTTTACTTTTGGAAATGGAATGAGAAATGAAATAGCATAAGACGAAATCAGATAATGTGGAGATGGATATTGGACATGCGATGGCTGCCTTTGACCGAACTCATTTGACAATGTCTGAAAACTGAAAACCACTATTATCCATTTTGTCTTATTTATTACTTTCTATTATTGTGATTATTATGTACACAGTGGAGTTATTATTATTATACGTGTACTCTTGTGATTATGTTGGAGTTACACCAAACCACCTAACCCATATCCTAAAAATAAAAATAAAAAACTGTCTTAATTTTATTTTATATCAGTTTTTGGGTGGAATTTAAAAGAATACTATTTTTAAAGTAAAGAGCAATGCAAACATTATCATTTAATAAAAAATGAATTTCATAGTGTGGGTTTATAAGTAAAACTCACTGTCTATTACATAGTGGTGCTTAAATGCCCTTTAAAAATGCTAAAGTAAAACAATTGTAAAACAAAAAAGTCAAACCTATCGTGCCGTCTGTGTTGTCTCCCATTTTTCTTCTTTATAGCCATAGCTGGTAATTGCTTGATTTCATTCTCTTTTTCTTATTGGTTTTAGTTGACTAAATTAATATGTCGTGCAAAAATTGAATAGTTTATAGTTCATTTTGAATCAGCAAACTTCGTGCCAATTGTATCGTTTTTGCATGATTTAAAGTGTTCATGAACTTTGTGCGTATGCAAATACAGATACAGAAAATTTTTTATTAAAAAATATAAATCTAGAATACCTATTTAATAAGAGGACATGGTTCAATAGAAAAAAAAAAGAGGAAAATTTAATTGCAATTGATTAGTTTACATAATCGCACAAAAAGATTCAGTAGTGCGTTTAATTCACTAATCAGCCAAAAAGGAAAACAAAACAGTGACCCTGATTATTGGCGTGATCTGCTTGGTTTCTACTTTCTCATAAGTCTCCAAGCATTGGTAGTACAAAGAGAGAGAAGGAACAAAACCTACAAATATTTGTGAAGCTCTCAAAATCAGCCTAGCTAAAAACTTGTTTATGAAGAAAATTGGAGAGTTTCTCTGATAAGACCGGAAAAAATAAACTATCAGTAGATCTCTACTTTCTAATTGTCTGATGTGTATCATAAACTGTTTGTTTTGTATATTTTTTCTAATGTGATTTTGATCAGATTTAACGGTTAGAAACTGACTCTAATAATAAATCGGTCTACTGGAGAAAGTCTCATAAAATAGTTCTATATGTAGAATTTTCTACCCAACAAAATAAAATATTAATATTTCTAACATTTCCGATTTCTCAACTAGAAATTAGCATGAAAAACGGTGGCAAATGACCACAACTCTGCCACTCACCCACTTAAAACTAATTTTGTATCTTCTTCCTTATTTATTTATTTTCTTTTCTTTTTCTTTTTTGGTGCTTTGGAAGTAAATTTGTAGCTTCTCTACTCAAACAATTGCATCAACAGAAAGCCCCGCCCTGCAAAGAAAGATCAGACCATAACAAATTCACCTTCAATGCAAAGGGTCAATGCATAACAATGTGATTTTGGTAAGAAACAAATTCCAACATAAACTTAACCTGATTGAGACAAGGATTAGAGTTTGGCAAAACGAGCGATCTTCGCCAGCACGGTTCTTAAACTTCGGATACCAGCTCCAGATTTTGAGCTTACCATCATCTGAAATAAAAGCCAAGCCAAGGAAATTAGGTGCTTCGAATAATGGATGCACATACCAATCAAATAAATATGCTCTCTCCATACCACTGGTTGAACAGCAGACTTGTGTGCCTTGAGGCCCTGCAAAAATTAAAAGGTAATCAGAATGACTTGTAATCAGAATGACTGTTACCATCACAAAAACCAAAGGAAGAACGCTAATTTTCAAAGAATCAAGTGTCAATGGGACTCGTGTTATGGTCACCTCTTCAATTTGCATAGCACGACGTGCCACGTCGATTGGGAAAACCACATCTGTCTTGGTCAAAACAATCTGGTATTTGGTTTTAGCTCTGCGGACCAAGGAAGAGGTGTCAATGAGACTCAAGCGTAAAATTCAAAACTCAACAAGTACTTGGCAGTTTGCACAATCTGTTTAGTCAATTACACATCCAGAAAGAGGAATCGAAGTTCAAAGGTCTGTGTCTTTGTAACCTTTCCATTAAGTCAATGAGTTCATGATCCCTAGGCTTCATTCCCCATTTTGTATCAATAAGAAGACAAACCCTTTTTAAACCAGCTCTTGTGGAAACATACTCCTTTACCTACAAATTCACAAGCATCCGTGCAAATGTCAATGTGCATAAATAACAAGCTAATATCTCAGGTTCAATAATACAAGAAAGCCTAGTAATGTTCGAAACAACCAATCCATAGGTTCACTAGAAAATGGAAGCTGAATAAAATAAAGTACATAATCCAAGATCAGGTTATGGCGGACTAAGGGAGGAAACAAAGGTGATGATCATCAGCCATCAAGATTACTAAAAGCTAATTAGCCATCATAATAACTTATCACAATTTTGATTTGTGACAAATCTTAAAAGTCAAAAATCCAAACTTAGGCCTCGTTCATTTCGCGAATTCGAGTTGAGATGTATTTTTATGTGAGAACTTTTCATTGTAGCAGAAAAGTTAGATGTGACTTTTATAGGAAAACTAGTATTGAAAACTCGAATTGGTGAAATGAACGAGGCCTTAGATACACAGTAAAAGGTCAACTTTTGTTTTTGGCACTCACAAGCTCCTCCCAAGCATCTTTAACTTCTTCTTTTGCATAAGCAAAGCCATAACCAGGCAAATCAACCAAGTTGAGCTTTGGTCCGAGATTGAAGAAATTTATAGTCTGCAGAAGAACCAGAATTGTCATGTTGCCAAAACCAAAAACATAATTAGAAAACCTGAGACCCAAGTTTCTGACAAAGAAACACACCTGAGTAAGGCCGGGTTTGTCAGATGTGCGCACAACACCCCATTGTCTTGTAAGTGCATTAAGTAGTGATGACTTCCCAACATTCGACCTTCCTAAAAGAGGCCATCAAAGTTAATAAATCCTATTAGCAGTTTCACTTATGACAGCCCTTAATATTTTAGTCATCTTTGTCCTTTATATATATCCACAATCAGGCTCAAAATGAAGTCACTGATGAATAAGATTTATATTATTGTTCTAATCAGTAAATTCAGGCACTGACATTTGTAATAACCTAGAATCTGACGTAATCAAGATAATGAGAGAATCGGGCAAAGGGAAAAAAAAATGGAAGAAGGATGAAATTTCAAATTATCCACCTGCAAATGCGATCTCTGGTAAGTCAGATGGGGGGAATGATGATGAAACCTTTGCAGCAGCAAAGAAGGTCAACTTGTTCCTAAATATCTGTACAAAATAGTTGGAATTGAAATGATTAATATAAACACACAGAAATTTTTTATCTCTCTAGTCATCATGCATGAATATAGTTCATGATTGAACAAATACATTTTCTTCAATTCGTTCTCGTTCTGAGCTAGTAGAGAAGGGAATATTATCTAGCGGGGCAGAGAGTTCAGTGTTGTAGCCTGCCCTTCGTAGCTCAATCAAGCGTCTACGACCCAACAACTGTCAACCAAATTATCAAAATGGTAATACAAAATTTTAAAGTAATGAGAAACAAATATAACCTTATCATCAAGAAAGTATACATAAGAAATAACTAATTATTACAGAGGGCAAACGTCAGAAGGACGCATACAAATTACATTATCTTCCACATAGGATAGGATTGAGGGACTCGGTTGTATTGCCCTAAATTGCGCATTCTTTGACATTTCAGCCTTTTCCTCCAAATCTATTTTCTCCTGTTTCTTGATATCTGATAGAACAAATACAAATAAGTTGTAAAGAATGCAGAAGTACATAATCAAAACTCCAGAGTCAGAGAATATACATTGAAATTACTCTGGTGAAAAATAAGTAAAGAAAAAAACTAACCATTATCTGCAATGCCATCATCTCGCCTCTTATTCGATATATCATATGGATCTATCCGAATAACCCGCTTTTTCTTCTTTGGCTTCTCATCTAGATCCTCCAAATCTTCACCAAGGCTTTTTTTGTCTCGAACCTTATTCTTGCCAGGACTTGACAGAGATACAGCTTGAGATTTTTTCTTACCAGATTCAAAGCCCTTACTCAATTCGAACTTACTCTTGCTACGTTTCTCTAACAAACCAGTCTCTCCACCACCCACATCAACAAATTCCTTCTGACCAATCCCCTTTACCCGAGTTACACCAGATACTCGTTCACTTCTCACGGCATTCTTTGCTTTATAAGAAGAACGTTTACTCCCAGAACTGTCCACCCCCAACTTGCTGGAAGCCCACATCGAGCGAGGAGATACACTCCTGCCTTTAGCTTCAACGACATCATCATCTTTCACCTTGTTATGTCGCTTCCTTGAAAATGGCGCCTTCCTGTTAGACCCCTCTCCATTGCCATTACTTGTTATCTCCTCACCTGTTCCTTGGTCAGCATAGATTCTCTTCCTCGTTTTATTAGAACTCAAAGGTCTCAACTTTCTCTTCCCACCATATATTCCCTCGGTCCCTTCTTGATCCATGTGACTCCTTTTATCTTTCACACCCGTTTTCAAGCGCCTCCTGCCACCATCAAGAGTCCTCTGACCCTTTTTCATAGTGCCCTTCGAGTTTTTGTAATTTGAAGATCCAATTTTGCCTACATCCGCAGTCATCCTCTAGAACTGTTCTAAACACCGTGATGCCCTGAGATTATAAAATCCCAAAGACACATTCATTATTTTTTTCTTTAAAAAAGAATCTACTTAATGACCTAAACTTTAAGGTTCACCTTTCTAAGAACAACTACAGCATTGAACAGCGATAAAAACATATAAATAAGGTGCCTGCATTGCATTATATTGTATCTAAAGTTGGTTTCCGCAAAAAGAGATATATTTATGCCAAGGATCAAAAATTATCCTGAATTTAAACTTTTAGTGACAATTGTGATACAAATTTAACGTCAATTTGAAGTTAGCCGGAATTGCTCAATGTGGGGTTTTTTTTTTTTTTAATTCTGTCTCTCTTCCTTCCACATAACAAAGAAACTCACCGTTGTCCTCTCAAACCTTTCATCGAACAGTTCATGTCCATTGTCTTGAAATGCACTACAAAGCTCAATAAGACGATGACCGAGCCATTAAATCATTACTGAAATTCAGACTTGGAAAAAGAAAAAACAAACAAACAAACAACAACAAGAAGATAAAAAATAACGTTAAATGGGAAGAAAGTTCCTTAACCAAAATGGCAAAGAGAGTACCTTTGGAAAACCCAAGCAGGGTTTTGTCTTCTTTGCTGCTTAGCTTTCCAAACACAGTACTCTCAACCAATTTCGCTTCATTTGCCGCCCTCCGGTTTCTTCGACTTTCTGCCCTAAAGATTCAAAGTTACAAACAAACAGAGAAATGGACAGTGGACGTATTTGGGCCCATGATAACACTAGGCCCATTTTTGCTGGCCCGTTATATACCTGCATGGCTCGTGGGCTGTTGGCCCTACTACAGCAACTACTTACAAAACTATTTATTATTTAAAGAAAAAAAAAATAGAGAAAATTAGATGGTTCCTCACTGTGCAGGTCTATTATTTATACCATTTTAAATATTTAAGTGTCATAGGCTGGGCCCATGATAACACTAGGCCCATTTTTGCTGGCCCGTTATATACCTGCATGGCTCGTGGGCTGTTGGCCCTACTACAGCAACTACTTACAAAACTATTTATTATTTAAAGAAAAAAAAATAGAGAAAATTAGATGGTTCCTCACTGTGCAGGTCTATTATTTATACCATTTTAAATATTTAAGAGTCATAGGCTAATGACCCATAAGATACGAACGTACACCTGAGGCTTGAAAACGGAAGAAAATCTTATCACACTAAGATCTAACACGCTTAAGGCTTTATTTGAAAAACCTCTCTCATCAAGATAAGCTTTTAAGCGTTTGAGGGACAAATCACTAATCCTCATATAAAAGGGACATCAACAATAGGGCTTATAAAACATTCTAGCTGGACTAAAATATCTACACCATGGGTAAACAACTTTACTGAGTGGGAGATACAACCAAGGCTAAAAGGTGAGAAAATCACCTCCGTTATTACGAAACAATACCAGAAGGTTGGGAAACCACCTCCGTTATTAAAGATCGGCGACTATGTCGCCTTTATTACATACCAAACATAAAACAAATAAAAAACCTAAATTGAAAAGGAAACCCCCGCACTGTAGAGAAAACAAATAGGGATGAGCCGAACACCATGACCAACAAACCCAAGGGAAAAAAGCCAAAAGAGGGCCAAGAGAGCAAGAGGAAAGTCATCTTTTTACCGGCATGTAAGATCCACATGTCGTTGCCGCCTTCTGCCACCATTGTGATGCACCCCACCAAGGAAGATGCAATACCTTGGAGACAAAGATCCCTAACCCCACGAAGAAATAGAGTCACTTACCTCACATCAACGTAGCCTGTTGCTACATCATATGCGCCACCAAGAACAACTCCACCCACGCTTCTTCTCCTCAGATCTTTCACGACGTGAGAGTCGAGACCAGTGCTGGAACTTTAGACGGACCGGCCCCGATCGCCCAAAAAATCCGATTTTGAGCCCGACGCCCTAACATGCCCGCCTGATTTTTTCAGGCCGCCCGCCCGAGCCCGAGAAGGCCCGTGGACGGGCCGCTGGCCTGGTTTTAGTTGTCTGAGCCCAGTCGGGGAGCCCGAGCCTAGTCGGGGAGCCCGAGCCCGCTCGAGTGGCCCGAAAAAAATATATATTTTATTGTATTTTTTAAATTTTTATAATATTGTATATATATTTTTTATATATAATGTACTATTATTTAGTAATTGTATTTATATATAAATAATTATTACGTTATTTTGTGTTAAAATTATATAAAAATTGATAGAGATTGAGAGAAATTGAGACATTGAGAGAGTTTATGTGAGAAAAATGTGTGGGCCATGGAGGGTGTATTTATAGAAAAATTTTTAGGTTAAAAATTGACTTCCCCCCCCCCCTAAAAAAAAATCAGATCCAACGGCTAATTTCATATTTTGGGCAGGTTGGGTTCAAGCCGAAATTGGGGCAACGGTAAAAAAAGAGCTGTTGGAGTCGGGCTTCGGGTTCAGGCAATTCCGGCCAGAGGGAAAAAAATAAAAAAAAAATCCGGCGGTCGGTGGTTGGGGGCATTCTTTCGGCGACGGGCTTCGACGATGTCGCCTAATTTCGGGCAGCCCGAGCCTAAGCCCGAAAACTTGCTTAGATAGGCGACCTTATAGACTTGTCTGTCGAGCCTGAAATATTCAAGCTTCGGACTGACTCGCCGGTCCAAAATTCTAACACTAGTCGAGAGACAAACATGACTGCTGAAGTTTCAATGCGCCTCACAAACACCAACGGATGTTCGATATTCACCCCTCTCAAATTCACCAGCCTTGAAAACATTATATACTAGAATATATATATATATATATATATATATATATATTTGGTTCTTACCAGCCTGTACATTTCGATATGAATAAATCCAGAAATGGACACAATCCTGCCGTGAACCACGCTAATCATGCTATACCACATAATTAAATATATAAATCTGGACGAAATAATTGAGGGAGTTCAACCACTAGCCGCCAAACAAAAGGAAATATTATAATGGGGTAAATATTAAATTAGAGCACGAAAAATGACGCCTTCCAATTTAGCAAATATTTTTACGCTTGCATCATACAATGAAATTCAATTCATGTAGACAAACTTTTTGCTGTCCAAACTCTCTTTGTCTCCGTATCCGATCATAACAATCCTCTTCCCTTAAATGGCAGTGAAGCTTAATTCTTGAAAAATTTGACAATACATGGAAATTTGCAAATTTTGTACTAATTGAGGCTCCGTTCATTTCGCTGATTCGAGTTTAAAATTTAAATTTTACTACAGTAAAAAGCTCTAAAAAACAGTCATATCTAATTTTTTTACTACAGTAAAAAGCTCTCACATAATATCACATCTCAACTTGAATTAGCAAACTGAACGGGTCCTGATTAATTTTTTCCCCTCTTTCAGATATGGATTCTATTAGCCTTTCATGTTGAAAGACGACAAAAAAAAAAAGTGTTCAACAATAGCCAGATGAAGCAAGCTGAGTTTGAAATTTTGAAAGAGAAATTATTACCTATTCGTTCATTTCGTCGATTTGAGTTTAGAATTTGAATTTTATTACAGTAAAAAATTATAAAAAATAGTCACATCTAATTTTTTTACTATAATAAAAAAATTTCACATAAAGTTACATCTCAACTTAAAATAAAAACTCAAATCAGTAAACTAAACGGGCTATAATATCCCCTACCATCCTGCCAAACAAACTGTTAGTATTCTCTTCAAGAGGTTTTTTTTTTTTTTTCTCTAATATCGCATGACCTTTGCAGTCAAGTTAGTTTTTGAATATTTGAAAGATAAATTGGTTCAAATCGTACTACGTCATGTTTGGTAAGGAAAATAAATAAATAAATAAAGAAGAAATAGAGGCATATAATTTTGGTGAGGAAAATAAAGTGAAGGAAAAGACCTTTCTCTTAATTATCTCCTGATCTAGGTCTCGTTCACTTTGTGAATTTGAGTTTTCAATTCGAGCCGAGATGTGACATTTTTTTAAAACTTTTTATTGTAGTAGAAAAAGTTGATGTGGCATTTTTTGAGACCTTTTTACTGTAGAAACCTATAACTGAAAACTCGAATCGGTGAAATAAACGAGGCCTTTATATTTCGTGAGATTAAAGTTGAGAATTATTAAAGCACTTTTTGTTTTACAACTCAAATCACAATTTAAATTTTTTTAACTACAGTATTTTTCCTCAAAAAATTCAAATTCATTTTTTTAACTACAATGTTATATCTCACATAAAATTTGCTATATAAATCAAATTCTTAACTCGAATTGTGAAAAGAACATGCCAATATCGATACATTATCATATCTTTTCTCTCATACAAAACAACTATGAAATTAGACGTGTCAATTCGTATCACGTGTCATGTTTTGGTCATTTCTTTTAAAAGTTACATTCAACCCGAACACGACTCGTGACACTAAATTTTTTAAAAACCGCAACAAGACCACTTTACGGGTTGACACGAAACCACACGAAAATGATCCGTAACATGAAATTAACTCATGAACCTGAAATTGACACGAAAATTATATATTTTTCTTTAATTTTTTACATATTAGAAATAACTTAAAATTCATAACACGCTAAAATATAATAACATCCATCAAAATTAAGCAAATAATAGTATAAGATTTTTAATATAACTATAATGATATCACAAGTTCATAATAAAATCTAAAATATGTAATAAAAAATATATATATTTAGTTTTTTACGAGTTGTCGTGTTCGGGTTAGACGGGTCTAACCTGAAATTAACTTGTGTTTTTCGTATCAATTTCAGGTCGACCCAATTTTGACCCGAACCTCTTTTTTCTCAACCTTAACCGGCGAAATTCGAATTGTATTATCATGTTATCGTGTCGTGACGCATATTACCGGTCATGAAATCACAAAATCCCTCCGCTAATATCGATACTTCTCATTCTCCTTCTATTTTTTTCTCCGACAAAACAAGCAATTAGTATACCCTTTCAGAAGTTCTCTCTAAAATATTGCAGCTAAAGCTTACAAGTCACAATGCCACTAATGCTCAAGAAAACGAATTTGAATTTAAAATTCTGTACAAAATACATGAACAACATAATTTGAGATACAAATATAATTACAATAGGAATAGGAATATGAAAATTGGTTATGGAGTCTGAGTGGAGTGCTACTCTAACCCTTCATTCTCCATTGTTGTTACATACACAAAGGTAGGTAGTGCTACTCTAACCCTTCATTCTCCATTGTTGTTACATACACAAAGGTATATACACAACTTATTCTACAACTCTTTTCTCCTTTTTCTTTTTTTTTTTTCCTCAGGACTCTCGTCCTTCTTCTTGTTTTTTTTTCCCCCTCGGAGAACTACAAATGCCAGCCCTGAACTAATTTACTAGTAAGATTTACGAAGTTTATTCCTCAAAGCAAGAAAACATACACACTTTTTTTTTAACTCTGAAATGAAATACGACAATTGTAATAATCATCAATTTAATAAAAATGTGTATAGCAAACACCAGCAAGAACCTCATTTTCTTTACACAACCTTAATCTTGACCATCATTAATTTAATAAAGAGTTTGAACCAAACATAATAACATCTATTGATCATCGGAAACCTGTTGAGGAGGTGATGAAGAAGAAGTCGACGCCTCTGATTCCACCGTTGACCCGGTCAACAATGGCCTGAGCTTGTTCCTCCATATATCCTTGTACGGTCCGGCATCACAGCCTTTCCTCTTCGTCTCCACCACCACCAAGCCGTCGGCCAACCCGTAGATTTCGATCCCGATTGCTAAATTACCATTCTGCCCCCGGATCTCCAACCCCCATTCCTTCTTCTTCTTCGTCGTCAGCTTCTCCGCCTTCGCTAACTCCTCGACTTTCGCGAGGATCTCCTCCGGCGACTCCTTCGACACGAATCGCTGCCCGTCCTCGACCGGATTGTACGACGAATCGAACAGCCCCGACAGGTCCAGCCCCGACGAGAACGAGATTATGTCGAACGCGTTCAGGCTCATCTTACGATCGTCCTTATCATCGTCAATTTTCTCCTGATCATAATCATGGTAGAAATTGATCGCTCCCTGATCGAAGCCACCCTTGCTGAACCAAGGGTCCCGGAGGATCTCATCGACGGTGATCCTCGTCTCGGGAATTGTGTCCAGAAGGCGAGAGAGGAACTTTTTCAGATCCGGCGACATCCATTTGGGGCACCGGTACTCCCCCTTGTAGATCTTCTTGTACATGGCCATCAGATTGGGATCGTTGAACGGCAAATACCCGGCGGTCAAGACGAAGAGAATGACCCCACACGACCAGACATCGACCTTCGCGCCGTCGTAGCCTCGCTTCGCGAGAATCTCCGGCGCCACGTAGGCGGGGGTCCCACAGAGCGTATGGAGGAGCCCGTCGGCACGGATTTGGTCGGCCGCGATGGCGGAGAGTCCGAAATCGGAGACTTTAAGATTCCCGTGCTCGTCGACGAGGAGATTCTCCGGCTTGAGGTCGCGGTGGAAGACACCGCGGGAGTGGCAGTATCCCACGGCGGAGATCAGCTGGCGGAAGTACCGACGGCTGAGATCCTCGGAGAACCTTCCCTTTGCGACCTTGGCGAAGAGCTCGCCGCCCTTGACGAACTCCATGACGAAGTAGATCTTGGATTTGGAGGCGGAGACCTCGTAGAGCTTGACGATGTTGGGGTGTCGGAGGCGCTTCATGATCGAGATCTCGCGCTTCACGTTTTGGGCGAGGTTGGCGTTGGAGGAGGCCAGAATCTTCTTCTTGTTAATAACCTTGATGGCCACGCTCTGCCCCGTGCGGATGTTCCGGGCATGGTATACCTTCGCGAAGGCGCCGCAGCCGAGGAGCTTCCCGACCTCGTACTTCCCGAACAGCGCGCTGTCGGCGGGGAGGACATTCTGGTGCTGGGGTTCTTGTGGCTGTTCGATCTCTGGCATCAGATTCCGAACCAGAGACCGAACTCGGAGGTTCGATCAGAATAAAGTTCTTGTTTATTTGTTTTTTTTGGTTTGGCCGGGGCCGAGAGAATTAGGGATAATTGAGAGAGAAATATATTGCTGTGATTGGGCACGGAATTTGAGGTTGAAGTGTTTGTTTGGTTGTTGTCGTTGGTCTGGTCTGGCCTGAGAAAGAAAACGGAAGATTGGAACTATTATACACAGTTTTGGGGAGGTTTCAGACGCGGGTTTTGTGGGTGGAAGTTTCCGGAGAGCGATATATAGATAGAGAGGGGAGGTTTGGGGGCAGCTGTTCATTAGCTATTTAATGGAAGTCTCTGAAAAGGGCGCGCGTGAGTCAGACTTCCGTGGGGCTCTTTTGTCAGCAGAAACTGTACCGTACAAATAAAAATAAAGGAGGCTGCTTGCTTTCATAGCACCCAAAAAACAAAAAAAAAAAAAAAAAAAAAAAAAAGCTGTTTTCTATTTGTGAGACCTTCCCCTGTAGCCGGGTCTAGTGATAATGTCAATTCTGGCGGTTAAAGTTTGATTAAAATTACATTAAATAAAAAAAATATGTAAAATAAATAATTTTTAATGTAAATTTAATCAGTTAAAAATAAAAAATTATTGATTATTTTTTTATCCTATAATAGGAACTCCCTTCTTCTTTAGCTTTTCTGTTGCGAAATTTTTTTTTCTCAATTTAATAAATAAGAAAAGAAAATATGATTATTCAAAAAAAAGAGAAAATACGACAACCATTATTAAAAAGTGAAAAAATCATTTGATAAAAAAAGTGAAAAAAGCTGAAGGTCATCCGTATTGTGTTTGATAAAAAACTTTCCGTCTCTTGATAATTGGCGCTTGGTAAGTTTAAAAAACGTGCTTACATTATCGACGGTTAGAGGAGTAAGTTTGAATCGGCGAGTTAGTTTTAAGCTTATTATTGTTTGCTCAGCTCGGTGTTAATTTTTAGGTCATACTGGGTTGATACTTTTGGCCTTAAATTTTTTTTGGGTGGGTCTAAAGTCCTTCTATTTATTTTATTTTCATATTTTCTTTGTAAAAGTTCAGGTTGAGGGTTGGGTTGGACTAAACACTATGACCTCGTTCACTTTACAGATTAGAGTTTTTAATTCGAGTTGAGATGTGACATTTTTTGATAATTTTTCACTGTAGCAGAAAAAGTTAAATATGACATTTTCTGATAGCTTTTTACTGTAGAAACCTAAAATTGAAAACTTGAATCAGTGAAATTAACGACACCTCTATTTTTAGGGTTGGATTGGCCCGATTTAAATATTCCCTTCAAATTGTCAGATCGGACCGGGGCCTAAACTTTCAGCTCTATTGGCAGAGTTTATTTTTTGAGAAATTGTAGTAAATAGGCTAACTTAAAAAAATCTGTGGAAGTAAATAGGCCATTTATTAATGATTAGAAATTTATAGCCATTCTTAGTTTTAAATTTTTTATTTTCCAGTTTTACCCTTAGTTTTCAGTTTTATTTTTTGTTTTTTATTTTCTCATTTTTTTCTTATCTTTCCCCCCTCCCTCTCTCCCTATTACACTTTCTCTCTCTTTCTCTCTCTCCGGTTTCACTCATCCATGTTTCTCTCTTCTGACGGCGGCGTTCGCATCCAATAAAGGCGAGATGCTCGACGGTGTGCAGATCAATGCTTTGGAGAGAGAGAGAGCACGTCAGAAGAGGGAGAGAGTGGCAGAGGGGGGAGAGAGAGAGCGACAGAGGGAAGAGAGAGAGAGGCTACTAGTTTCAGTGAGTGAGTGAACGGAGAGAGAGAGAGAGAGAGAGAGAGAGAGAGACAAGTACTAGGATTTTGAGTGGAATTCTCATTTAAGGGTATTTTTAGAAATTTATTGTTTATAAATCTAGCTTTACCTCAAATTGGCCTATTTATTAACTTTTCTAAAACTTTAGCCTATTAATTTTAATTCCTTCTAAATGTTGGCCTATTTTCCTCGATCACCCTTATTTTTTTATCTGAAATTTAAGTAAAAAATATATTATCAATTTTTAATAAAATAAAAATTCTAACCTAATGAGAATATTCCATATATACATCTCATAAAAAAATTACACACAAACAATCAAGATGACCCAAAATGTAAAATGAAAATATAATCTATATATATATATATATATATATATATGTTACACCATGGTCGACCATTCAAGCCACCCACTTTTGTCGTACGCGTCGAGAGCTCCGAAAGTCAGGACAAATCCCTGTCGAGAACAACTAACAGTTAGGGAGATGTCTCTAGGTTGAGGAGCGCTCTTAGAGTCGAGAAGTGCTAAAGGTCCTCTCAGGGCCTTTGCGTCGTTGAAGTCGAGAAGTATGCTAAAAGCCCTTTGAAGCCTCTGCGTCGAGAAGTCAAGGTGTTGGAGTCGAGAAGTGCTTAAGGCCATCTCAAGGCCTTTGCGTCGTTGAAGTCGAGAAGTATGTTAAAAGTCCTTTGAAGCCTATGGGTCGAGGAGTCAAGGTGTTGGAGTCGAGAAGTGCTCAAGGTCCTCTCAAGGCCTTTGTGCCGTTGAAGTCGAGAAGTATGCTAAAAGCCCTTTGAAGCCTCTGCGTCGAGGAGTCAGGAATTAGATCAGACCGAAAGCAGTCCAGTCAAATCCAGCAATGGTCTTGTCAACTCGAAAAGAGAAGTATTGATCCAACTGCAACTGCAGGAGTCAGGAAATCAGGCGGCAGACAGGAAGGATCAGCCGCGTTTCCCGGAGCAGTCATCATGAAAACTCACCTACCCTCACGCGGATCAAGGACAGAAGATGGCTTCCTCCTTTGAAACGGGGAATACGTACTCACATGTAAAGGCCTATAAATAGAGCCAAGAAAACCAAGAGAATGGTTAGACACCATTTCATTACTAAGAAAAGAGAGCTCGTAACCGGTTGAAACATTAGTGCATGCACAAGTGGATTAAGCAAAGAATTACTGCCGAACCACTATAAAATGGTTCCCTCCTTTACGTTATTTTTGAGTATTTTTATCTGATTGAACCGTGAGTATTTTTGAGAGAGATAACTACAAGTTGCCGGAAAACACCGTCAACAATATATATAAGCAATGTAATGAACGTGAAGAGACAATGGAAAATAATTAATTTTTTTTCAAGTGAATACATTTATTGTTTATTCTTATTGCATGAGTGACAAAGTTAGAAAATTTATTCAGGAGATTTGAGTTTTACTAAAATTTTGAAATAAATAAATAGTGTTATAAATATTGAAAATCTCATAATCTCTAATAATTAATAAATAAAACACATAATCAGATATATAAAGTCTAATCTCTTTATATATGGCGGGGGCGGAGGGATGTCAACATCAACTCTTGGATTTATATATCTCATTGCGACAGCTAGCTCCAAGTTGGTGTTGTAGATCTGTGCAAATCGCTATTGTAGATCAGGAGATAATTGTGTCTACTGGAACCCGGATTGCGATCTAGAAGAGGAAGAACTAGAACCCTTTTGTCTCGAAGAGATTCCCACTCCCCAAGGATGTACCTCATAGAAGATAGGAGTAGAGGCTCTTGAATCGGATTGCGAAATTTGATTCTGCCTCTCATCAACTATTTGTTAAACAAACTAATTAACAACAAACACCTAAACTAACACATATTCAACTCACAACAAAATTATTTATCTGTTTCTTTTTTAAAAATGAATGAGTTCTATCTAGTATATTACTTCATCATGTTTTCAAGATACAAAAAATGTAATTTAATAATCTCGAAATCCATACAAAGTAAGTGAAAAATATGTTAATAACTCATGATTAAAATCATTTAATATATGACTATCGATATACTTAATTAGAACTTATATACCTAATGAAAATTATTATAAATTTATATTGTGTCTTATCCTAGGTCTTACATTATCTCATGATATAAAATACACTCATTAGATATCCTTCCATATCAACGACGTGGATAATCTCTTTCTATTCTTAATATGAATGAAATTATTAATAATGTTTTAATTAAAAGTTCTGAACTTAAATAACTTCATTATGGACTTATTTCGATTATTATCCATAAATATTATCCTCTAATATATAACACTTATATACAATATTTAATGTCACATAAATAATCGTGAAAATTTTCAATAATTTTCATAAAATATACAAAATACATGCACATAAATAATAAAATTTCTCTTTTATTAAATAATAATATTTTTTTTATTGCATCTCATGTTTTAAGACATCTTTTGTACCTCTCTGAAATGTCTCTCTTCTAAGGAGCGAAATAATATTCTCGAGAAAATGTCATTGCATATGATGAATAGGTAGGGACATATGCGGTCTACCCCCGAGCTGAGGTAGTCCTTTTTGAGACTACTCCCGTGTTTGGTTGGGCATAACTCAGTCCAATTCAGTTCAAGTTGTAGTTACAGTTGGTGTTTGATAAGGCCATTAATTACAATTGAATGGCTCACTCAATTTGAGCTGAAACATCTCAAATTAGAGTTTAAGAGACGTTTAGTTGGAGGATTCAAACCATGTGATTCAAATCATTTTTGATTTACGTGTATTTTTTATGAGAAAAAATACTTAACAAACAACGAATCATGATTCGAATCAGGGAACGAATCTCTCTACTAAACAGAACCTAACCTCCCCCCAATTCAACATTTCAAACCAATTTTCTGCGGTAAAAAGCAATTCACAATTCTGACTTTTTAGGCTGGGCCCACGGACTCTAATGATGCCGTTTTTTTATAGCGCAGTAACAAGTGTTCCAAATACTTAGTAACAAAAGTATAAAAAAAAAGCTACCCAATTAAAAAAACACCTAAAAAATTTTAATTATTATATAGATAATTTTGCTTAAATTAAATTTCTACTGTTGTATTATTTTTATGCATTATATTATTATTTTTTCGATTCAAACTACAGTTCTCAATTATTATCTAAATGTTAATTCGAATTATATTTTTTGTTTAAATTAAAACTTTAAATACACAATCAAACACTATTTTATACAATTATTTAAATTATACCATTTGAATTTTTTATTTAAATCAACACAATTCGAACCAACAATCAAATATGCCATAAGAATTTTTTGTTGTTCAATTATGAGGAATTGTTGCTATCACAGAACTACCCACAAGTAGAGTTGCAGCAAGCCACGACAATAGTGAGACCCATCCTCAGGTGGAACATTTTTTATTTTTATTTTTTAATTTTTATCTACCTTGAGTCGAAAAATAAAGAGATAAAAGTTACAAATTAAAAAGATCTTTTGTTTTATATTGTATTATGATTATTAATAAATTTTTTAGTAATATTAATAATATAAATAATTACAAATATTTTT